CCCTCCATCACGCCCCGCCGCCTCCCCCCAGCCACCTTCCTCCTCCTGCCCTACCTCGATCTTCCCCTCCTTTCCCATCTCCTTCTGCCATCCCTTCCCCACCTCACCCCTTCCCTCTCATCCTCCTCCTGGTCCCCCCCTTCATCCCCTTTCCGCCCACACTTCGCTCCCCATGGCCGTGCTCCCTCGCCTCTCCCCTTCGTGAGAGCCCACGGCGCGGAGCACAGCTTTCCTCATCTCACCCTCCTCCTCCTCCTCCAGCCCTTCCTTGCTCTCCCCTCTGGCCTAGGCTCCCTCTGCCTTCTCTGCCCCTTGCCTTCCCCAACAGCCCCCTTCTCCTCTTCTTCCCCGACCTTTGCCTTCTCCCCCCATCTGCTCCCTCTGCCCCCATCTTGCCCCCTTCCCCCTCTTTCTTCCCCCCTTTTTCCCTCTGCCCGCAGCCTTTGTCTCCTGGAGCCCCTTTGCTCTGCTGCGCTCAGGCACAAGCCCCAGGACAGCTCCCTTTAGCCACCGCCAGAGAGCCTGGCCGCTCCGGGTAGCCTGGCCCCAAGCCCAGGTGGCCCGGAGATGCAGCGGGGTGCCAGGGGGAACGGCTGGCTCCAGCCTCTCCCTACTCCTGGGTTGAAAGGAGCAAGCAGGCTTGTAACAAGTACCTGGTGCAAGCACCTTGTAACGAGCATGTGGTGGCCCATTAACCCTAAAAAAATTCTACCCACCTGTAAGGAGAAGGTATTTTATGACCCCAGGGACTGGGAATGCAGGATTTGGCCCTCACTGAACACCTCAAAGCAGCTGTTGGAGGCGATGCAGCGTTGCCTTTGAAGCTTCCTGCACGGAGCAGCTCTGTGAACTGCAAGCAGGTCTTTTTGGTGTCGCTGAGTTGCATTTCACACGCTCGGCTCTCCAAACCTCCTTTCTTCAGAGGAAATGAGGTAATTCCAATCGTTTGGCAAAAGAAAGCAATGTGCTGACTCCCCGGCTGGGGCAGACTGTGGGAATCCTCCTTTGTTGGCATATAACCTGTCCAGAAATCACCAATGTTTGATTATATCACCTGACAGGTCAGCTCAGAGACAGTCTTGTAAAACCTACAGGAAAAAAAAAAGATATTTTCATAAAATCACATGTCAGGCTTTTGCTGTCAAACAGCCTAGCGCTTTGCATCCAAGCACTCTGTATGGCTATACTCTACATATAAATGATGATGGTTTATTGTTAGGAACAGAATACTTTTCACAGGCAATTATTATTCACAGTTAATAGCTTCCAATTCCTATATTAAAATTGCCAAAAAAAAAAAAAAAAAGATCTAGGAGCCAGAGATGGCTTTCTCCCAGATTAACTTTGCTGAGTTATAAATACCACGTTAAAAGAGACTCCTTGATTCTGGTCTGGCAACTGCATTAAGGCAGAAGACTTTCCAGGCAGTCGCTGAATTTTGGGAGTATGTAGATGCACATAGAGAGGTCTGTGAGGAGGGAAGGGAAGGGGAATTGCCTACAGTTTCTCCCTTATTCCCTGCTTTATCTCCCTCCTCTGCTGCTGTACGCAAGAGCTGAGTACTGGCCATGGCTTTCATCATCCCGGGGCTCCCAGCTGCCTCTCACTGCTGGGCTGGACAGAGTTTTCCAACACAGATCCCATCTTTTCTGGATGCGTGGTCTGCTGCTCTTGCGTAAACATCTTGGATTACCTTTTCTGTAGGCACCACCGCAAGGTAAAGCAATCAAATATAAATCCAGGGAGTTCCATCACACAGAAGGCAAAGAAAAAAAAAAAAAGTCCATCTAAACCCACTGCCACATGAGGTTAATTTGGATCTGATGGATTCCAGGGCTGACAAGGGTAAATAAACCACCTTGGAGCAAACTCTTGGACCACACTAGCAGGTAGGAGAAAGGCCACCTTCTCTGACCCTTATTACCTTCAGCTGAAAAGCACGTACCAAAATCCCAAATCTTTTCTGAACTTACATGTATGTAAGACACACATCTCCTCCTCGGAACTCTGCAAACCCTCATTTCCCTCAATTTTAAGCTCCTTCTATCCTTCAGAAAGATGTAAGAGCTTGTCCTCAAAAATAAAGAGAGAAACCTGCATCGGAAGCACTGATTTCTCATCAGGGTGCAAAACAAGGAGAACATAAATTTGGAGGAAGAGCTAGGGAAGACACAACACGGAGGTGATGTGGTTTGTATGGGGTTTCCCCTCTCACAGTCCCAGCTAGGGAGCTTAGAAACGCCCCCACCCTGAAGAGCATCGCATCCAAACCCACCCGGGCAGAGAAGGCACCGGCATCCCCACTGAAGGGTCCCAAGACTCGCCCACAGTCTCCGAGAAGCCCATCGCAAGGCCGGGACACCCCCCGCCCCTCGGCCAGCGCTGAGGCAAGCCCTGCTCCTGGCTGACCCGGCCGGAGGCATCATCGCAGGGGGGGCACGGCGGGGCAGCGGGGCACCCCCACCTTGCCAGCCCCAAACCCCGCCCCCTGCAGCCCCGGGCCCGCCACGCTGGC